TTTCCGGAGAGAAGTTTCCCTACGAACAAAGCCTTGAAAAATCTTCTGAAAAAAATCTCTTTTTTACCCCCGGGAGCCAAACCCAAGGCAAACTACTAGTGTTTTGTAATTTTACCGTTTGGTGACTGGTGCATTATGTTACTTTGCTCTCAACGGAAATTTATTTCATAATAAATATTGTAACGGAAATTCATTTCATACCAAATAACCGTATTTAATCGGAAATAAGATTCCCTTAATATAAGACTGTCCTAAAATTCTAAGATAAGTTTCAAAAATAAAAATATATGTGAATGTATCTTTTAGTAATTTTGTAGTAATATTTTTTATCTTGTAGTAATTTTGGAAAAGGGAATCTTGGTTTTTCTTATTAACTTTCCTTCAAAATAATGTGTTTCACCAAGTGATACTGCATTATTTTCATTTCTCCAGGCATGATAACCAGTATAAAAGATGCAGACCTAAATCGAAATCCCTGACCTAGACGCGGCTACTATAATTAGTAGTAGTAATTCAGTATATATAATGCGCATGGTGATTTCAAAATATATGGGCAAAATGTAGACAGCTCCGAAATTAGCATTTTGTAATGAAATGTGTGTGCATAAAGGCACGTAAAGGCGGATCTGAGAAACATGTATTTCATGTATGGAGCTGCGAACGGAATCGAAGCAGCTGGTCAGAGGAGGTACTTCATAACCGTTGTCTGCACCTTTTTTACTCCGTTTTCCACAGGTTATCTTTGGTGCATTAAAATATGTAAGCCTATTAAACTGTCTGTAGCTCCGATCAAGTATCACAGGTTTTTGACTTTTCCATAGTTATGAATGTTGTGTTCCGAAATAGATATTTACGAACGTGTTTTCACATGGTCCTGATATCCAGCTTTCTTGTTGGCCCGTCACCGAGCGTAAAGTTACTGAAGAGTTCCACCTCAGTCTTATCTCAGGCAAACTGGTTGGCTGCTTAGTTGCTTTTACCCATGCGTAATGTGAATGCAGAGCAGTCTGCCGTACAAAGCCTTCCACGAACGCATCCTTTCCCTTAGGCCGCTAGCCCGCGTGTGTTTTCGTTATATTTAACTAATTTAACCTAACTTTAATGTGTAAAAACGTTTTCTTAGAAATATATATTTTGGCTTAATTTTTGTGATTAGCAGTTTGCCACTGTGTAACTTCCAGTCTGCGCCAAAAATTTTGTTTCTTTTCATTCATTATTTTTTGCTTATTGAAATATTTTTGACATCTTTATTTAGACCTATCATAAGAAATACTGATCCTTTAAGTGTTGCATTCGTGAAATGCCGTACATGCCTTTGTTTCAATTTTTCGATTTGGCCGAAACAAATAAAATAATTTTAGATTAGATTTATCTGAATTCAGGAACTTTAAGAAATGAAGTTTATTTATTTTCTTATAACCATAAAACATTAATAAATTATTTCTTCGGCATTTTCGTACGAAGGGACTGAGCCCACCAACGACCGAGCAGTAAAGTCGCTGAACACTGTTAGTTCAGTCCGAGAATCGAATCTCGCGAAAGGGTTGGCTGCATGGGCGTTTTCGTGGTTTTTCCCATGAGTAGCGTGTATGCGAGATAGTTTACCTTAGAAAGTCCTTCACGAAGGCATCCCTTCTGTTAGGCACGCAGCCCTCGATGCTTTGCCATAATCACATAAAAACCAAACAAAACGTACGAAGGGGCTACCGAAGTTAGCCGCCAGAACTGCTTGCCTTAATCGCCAAATTTTAATGTGCGACTTTGGTGGCTGCTTTATCAAGAAAGTAGCACTTTCGTCTTATAAATAGATAAAATAGGTTTTTAAAAGTACCGTAAAGGTTACGATTTGCGTGCAGGTTAATTTAAAGATGCCTCTTACCTTTTTCATTATTCTAAATTTCCTTTACCTTATAATACTTTCGCTACCAATGTGTTGTATATGTGCCTGCAAGCATTTAAAAAAATTCTGATAGGACAAAGTTTGCAGTGTATTATAATTTATTTCACTGGTAGTTGGGAACGCTAGGTTTGTTGTTGCGACGTACATGTTGCAATCGTGTTTTTTAGTTGGTGCTATAGTCTTATGTAAAGAATAAACTCTAAGTGAGGGGGTTAAGCAGCTTAGATTTTGTACGAGACGTTATGCATTTTGTATTAGACTAGTAAAACACGTGATTTTAAAGTCTTATAATTTCATTTACATTACGAATAAAAAGATTATTACGCGTTCATTTGTTCTCATTGTTGTCAAAATAAAATACCGTCTTATGAACTGCAAAGTAAACGAACATTGTGATTATCTTCGCTTCGTTTAATATAAAATGAACGCATTCACGAACTAACATCTTTACTTCAAAGAGTGCTTCACGGCGTTCTCAAAAATCATTAAAATGAGGAAATTTTGAAAGCAAAGTTTGAAGAATGTATGCATCTTTAAAATAAACTTCAACAGGAATAAGCTGAGAGAAGAGACGCAATCACACTGAAGCGAAAGGTTACGGCCAAGTAGCTTCATAGCAGCACTTGATAAAGAATGCTCGATTCTTGTGGCGTCCCCCCTGTTGCTTTGATAGAATTGAGGGTGGAGGGGGCCTCATATTTGATCTGCCACCCGCTGTCGTTGGCATGGTGAGCGTAGTAATGTCTTTTCAGATTGTTGCTTTATCGAGCGTCGAGGGCATGTTTATGACTCAATAAGAGATCCTTTCCCTCTCTGAAAGACCGAGGCCCCCAGAAATATGTTGTTATTGCTTCGTGAAGGGAATAAGCAACTAAGGAGACTAAGGAGTGTCCTCGCTGTGTGTATTTCTAGATATCTAGATAGGGGTTGGGAAGATGTGCGTGTTTGCGGAATGCTCGTCTGCATCAATGCTGTAAAAGGCTATCTCGTGTGTCCTGGTGCGCGTTCGCTGTTTTTCTTCAAAATATGTATATTTTTATATAGTATGTCTGTGTGCGTAAAAGCTATTATACTTTAAAAGAATTATAGAATATTACAGCTGTACATGAATCACAGATTAGTTTATATAATTTCCAAATATAACTTTATGTATTAAATAAACTTTTTTTTCTTCTCTCAATTCAATTTCCGATTGGAAGTAAGAATGAACGTATTTAGTTTCAGCGAAGAATTGACGCGTTGACTACGTATGTCGTCTCGAGCCGTTATGCATGAATAAGTGAATATTATGCTTTTCGGGTGAAATGCGCAGTTACAGCATATGCCGAATGCTCGAAAACATTAATTTTAATCTCGTATTTTAGTGAGTTTAATTTAATTTTTGTTTTGACAAAGATGCACAATGTAATTTTTTTAGTAAGTGTTTTAGGAACGTTTGGAAGTGAATGCCTGCAGTCTTACCAATGAACCGGGCCACCTTATCCCCGGATAATTTAATTTTCCAGGCAAGCTGCCGATTTCATTGCGTGATTATGTGGTTTTTCAAAGGTTTTTATTTGAATTCGAAATTATTTAGTTTGCTCGGTGACACTACAAATTTAAAATTCTTTGAAATCTCAGGAGCCTAAAGCTTAGTTACAGTCACATGATTTTGAACTGAATCATTGAATTTATTAAATACATTTCGATTTTAAGGCAGGACGTTTTCTAAAGGTGTTAAAAATATCGCCAAGCTATTAAGAAATCGCAAAAAGTTGTCAAAATAGGCAGCAAAAAATGTTACCAAGACTCGATAGGAGAGTTACCCCCCCCATCGTAGTTTTTAATTTAGTTATGTTCTCAATTCCACATTCGAGCGATTCAGAATTACAAGATTTACAAAATACTATAGAAATGAACACTTGCGAATGCAGTAAATGGTCACAAATTCGACTAAACAAAGTACGGTATTAAATTACAACATAAAATACTCCAATGAAGAAACAAATAAATCAAAACAACGCATAAATTATAAAATGCCATAAATATATGTAGGTGGAGGGAACATGCTTAATTTCTGAAGCCATTTTAACTTTCATGCCAGTAGTCAGATGTTCGCCAAGGTTAGAGCTGCAGGAGACACCCAAATGAAGATAAGACCATATGAAGACCATATGACACCTTCATATGGGTGTCTCCTGCAGCTTTGATGAGGTTTACTTCCATCAACGTACCGAACTTCATAAGAGTGCCATAACGTTTATGATTTTATGTTAAGGCACTTTCCTGGCTTGGCAAGTGATGGTCAACTTTAAAAAAAAAGAGAGGTGCCGGTACGTTTGTGCAAGCTGGAGATTAATTGCCAGTATTGACCTTCACATGGACATTGCAGGCCAACGCCTTTGTACCCTTATGTACAGCACTTTGCCTTTATGCTTTGTGCTCTGGTACATGACGGGCAACGTGAAAGGTGCCGGCATCTTAAAATATTAGGTGGCACCAGCCGTTGGAATGGCAAGGAATACGCTGATGTGTGTTTCATCTGCAGCTTATATTACATTTAAGCATAGCTATATTGAATTATTGCACATGAAATTTCGTTTCATTTTATAATATCAGTTGTATTCTCCATGCAGAAAAGCCTTGCGTTGTTTACATTCGTATCAAGGGATTTTAAAAATTACATTAGAATAACCTTTTTATATACATGTTATCATAAGCAAGAATTTTATTAGTGATAGTAATAATTTTCATTTAAGTTTTTAAATATAACATTTGAAACCATTTTCTCCATTTTGAATGTCATATTAAATATAGTAAATATTATGTTGGATATATTAAACAAGCAGGTAAATGTAAAAAGATTAAAGGGAAAATTAATAAATTGAAGCAAATATGTGACACAGCTGTTTGAATTCTTTTTTAAAGCTAGAATTTTGTCTGGAACCCTTTATTTTTTTTAATATATACATACGTCTGGAATAAGATTACCAATAAGTTAGCAGTTGAAATTTTCTTATTCAGTATTTATTAAATTATTAGTATTGTATATATTTTCGTAATTTTAATGATGCAGCAGGGAAAGCAGGAACTTAAATTTAAAAACCATTTATGTTGTCAGTTATGCTCATATTTGAACAAATGGTGAGTGAAAAAAAGAAAGAAAGAAGAAATGAAAAGAAACACCGGATAAATTTCTCACTGTGATTGCTGTTGCCAACTTTCTGGCTGGAATCAGATTTTATTACCCGGTGAGTGATGTATTGTTATACGTATTTGTGTAAAACGCATAAAAACTAAATTACAGTCAAATGAATATAAATATTTACATAAATTTACAACATTATTTAGGAATATGTAGCTGATTAAAATATATGAATTCTGATATTTTGTCGATCTTATGCATTTCAGCTTATCGAAATTAAGCATTTTTGATTTGGCAGCGAGCGAAGTGACTTGCAGCGGATGAATATAAGTGTGGATGAATATTATCCGATAGTCATTAGATAATTGAATTTTGTCTAATGAATCGCAGCAACTAAAATTCGATCTCATCACAACTCTCTGCAAAGTAAATACCTGAAGTAACCGCGTGCTTGCTGGGTGCAGTTTTAGATTATAAACAAAATGAAGAGAAAAAAAAAATCTTTAAAGGATGCACATTCGTACAGGCATAATCTCCTATTTGGGAGCATATATAGTTCATTTGAAGTCGGCATTTATAGAACTCGAGTTATAAGCGGAATTCTTGAAGGGGGTTTTAAGTTTTTTATTAAAAATCAAATTAACGTACATTCGTATCAAGGGATTTTAAAAATTACATTAGAATAACCTTTTTATATACATGTTATCATAAGCAAGAATTTTATTAGTGATAGTAATAATTTTCATTTAAGTTTTTAAATATAACATTTGAAACCATTTTCTCCATTTTGAATGTCATATTAAATATAGTAAATATTATGTTGGATATATTAAACAAGCAGGTAAATGTAAAAAGATTAAAGGGAAAATTAATAAATTGAAGCAAATATGTGACACAGCTGTTTGAATTCTTTTTTAAAGCTAGAATACGTGTATGAACGTATTTTTACACGAAGGAAGCATGAATGAATGATATGAACGTATTTTTACACAAATGAACACGATATGGTTAGCTGAATATGACACACAAACAAGTAATAGCTAGTAAGGAAGAAGCAAGTACGATTATTTGACTGCCTTTGCCAAACCTTAAATATTACGAAATATTTTACTTTTGCTTTTAGCTGCCTTTTTAAGAATTATATCCCGTGCAATTAAATTAATTATTCTTAAATAATATTTCATACTCTCCAGTAATTTCAATTCGTTACAAGGCCTTAGCTCGTTCAATTTAATTAATTTTTTATCTTAAATCCGCAAAATGTTTTTGTCAGAATTGAAAGGATATGGTTTCATTCGTTTGACAGTATAATGCATTTTAATTAATTAAATGTGTTTTGGACAGAGATATTTAATCGCTGATATTGTTTGCGAGCTTTTTCTAAGCATAAACGTGGGCTTGCTTCTTTTACTTTTAACGTGGCTTGCTATCACAAACAGTGTTCGCGTGCACGAATTACATTACTTATTCATAGTGAAAATAGAGTTGGCACACTTGTTATTTAATAATATCTTATTTTCTGTAATAATTCTTTCGGTAAAATGTATGTCTGGCTTGTTTACTAGAATCAAGAATTGTTAAAATTTACTACAAATGATCACGAAACAAGTAAGATTACGTAATAAGAAAATAAATAAATGTATTATCATTTCTTACAGTATATATAAAGTTATTACTCCACAGTACATTTAATAAAAAAATTAAAATGCCGAATTGCCTTACGTTTAACGAAATAAATCGTAACAAATTTAATTTATATAACATATACAACCTGTGAAAGTGTGCGCGCCATATTTAGTTTTCGGGTCTGCTGTACGACATGTATTTAAATGGGAAGCAAATATTTTCTAATTTGAATGAATCTCCTTGGCAAAGCGTTTTGATTTAACCCAGAAAAAGGGCATAAAATAAAATTCGAATTCAGTGAATCCGTGTCAGCTTAAAACATGATTCCAGACGATTTTGTTTCCCTTTGGAGGTGATCGCATTTCAGAATATAATTTATCAGTGACGTTGCTATCGTTATTTAAGTCGTGTTGCCGACTGTTTTCAGAGAAGGGAGTCTTCTTACGAAAGAGGTCGGAGGGGAAGATTTCACTTGTAATTTTTGGAAGGATTTCCAGTTTAAAACGCAATTACTCTGTGTTTAGTTATCTGACGCTTCTTCAGAATGCCAAATAAAAGTAGGCGAAATGTAGCTTTTTTTCAGAAGCACCTCGCATAGTATTCAAAATATACAGCATGCTGGAGCCAACTTAGTGGTAAAATTTAACTCGAAAGGGCGGTAGAATGTATGGTAAAGAGCTAATACCTCGGCCTTTCTTTGCAAAATATACTTTGCTATCTGCAAAATTTCAACGAAAGTTAGTTACCTTCGAACCATGAAAGTTTTCGGAGATATCGTCAAAGTTGCGCCAGTCGTTCCTGTAGAATTCTCAAGGAACTGGCGCTTCCTCTTCATTTAATAAACAACCACTATTTAATTTATTAAGTAGCTTTGTTTTTCCGCCTTGTGAAAAATGTTTTTATCGATTTCAAGCCCTCTTATTTTACCGGAAGCCTCTTACGTACAGTTTGCCTTATGAGTACAAACTTCCCGCTGGTGATTGTTCCAATCTATTACTTGTTTGTGTGTCATATTCAGCTAACCATATCGTGTTCATTTGTGTAAAAATACGTTCATATCATTCATTCATGCTTCCTTCGTGTAAAAATACGTTCATACACGTATTTTTTTTATGTTAGTGTTCTATAACTTTGGTAACTGAGGTAATAGGTAACTAAGCTGAAAATAATCTTCCGCTTATTGTTCCATAAAATGCAGGTCTCAAGTTTCAATCATTTTCTTTAAAATGCATGAAAAAAATACGGAAGTAGCTATTAATTCATGACCTTGTTCATAAAAACAAAACGTGGCTTATAAGAATCTACATCTAACGGAAGCGCGGATTTTGTGAATTGGTTACGTGACTTTTATACATAACTAGCGCTGAGTCGCACTGCTTAGCGACAGTTTCACGGTGACGGGATAATATGCAAGTACGCAGAATTATATACGCTACTACAAAATGAGCGGAGCGAAACACATGAAAATATAATTAAAAATGTATATTGAAGCAGAGTAAACCACATAAGGAATATGTACGAAGTTTTATTAAAATTGAACTCAAAACAAATAATAAATAATAAGAAAAAAGAACACCGTTCTCTAATTTGGACCAAAACTGAATGTATGGAGGAAAGTAGAAACAAATAAATTCAAGTATTTATCAAGAAAAACATCTGTATCAACATCTGAGTTTTAAGTTTTTACCTCTTTAATTACTTTCAGTGATGAATGAAGACACTTTTTCATAGTGTAAGTGTGTCTTCAGAAGTTTTATCTTAGTTGCATAACTTCTTTTAGCAGTTATCCTCATTCCACACGTGGTTGAGAGGATCAAATCGCCGGTTGACAAGCCTGACGGAGTTTTTAATGATTTTCCGTATGTGTAATATGAATGGAAGCCAGTTTCCTTTAGAAAGTCTTGCACGAAAGCTTCTCATCCCTTAAGTCAGATATCCTTGAGTATTTTGTCTTTGTAAGTTAATGAACTGAGGAAGAGACAAACTCGCAGATATTTTTAGCACCATTAGATGTAGAGCTTAGAGGTAAAACATTACGTTGAAACTATAGGAGTAAATCTGGAGTATTTTAACAATAAAGAGCATTTGATATTCGCAATTAATGTTTCTTCAAATTGTCGACTCTTGAGTATATAAAGGAAACATTCTTTTCTCATCAAATTTAAAGCAACAGTAGGACGGCAGTTTTGCAATTTTTCCTCGTAGACGGGAAAAAATAGAGCTACGGAGCCATCATCAGTTTAAATGTGTACTTCCTAGCTACGGCAAATAACGAAAATCTGTCTTTTCTTCTGTAGTTGCATTTTCTAAGCATTCATTTGGATTTCTCCCCATTAATCTCAGAGACGCCAGCGATCAGCATTGGCAAAAGACGTTGTCAACCCATCTTTTCATCGGGAAACGTTATCAAAGAAAATGGCTTTGACAGCGTTTATTTATGCTGACGTTGCTGGCTAACTATTGGCCCTCCAAAAGGAAAAAAAGCGCATAAATTAAGATGAAAATAAATGAAGAAGTGTCATTAAGTTAATAAATTTTGTGAAGAAAAATGTTGTTATAACTAGCGAGTTTTAATTTTAATTTGGTATTAATTATATTAAAAAAGTCTGCTCCGTGTATGGGGGCGATATCTGAAATAATGCTCATTTACCAACAACAATTTAATTGCAAATGAACTAAATACAATTAAATTGTAACACACTAGGTATTTTACGTAACGTAAATCGATTGCTTTTTTTTAGTCCAAAGGGATTTCAGTCCCGAAGGACTATTAGTTTCGTTTTGCGATTTTGCGTCGGACTCATAAACGTCGGTTCACTTTTCAAACTGTTGCCACAAAATGTTAGAGTCCTGCATTATATTTGAAGAAATTAAATAATGAAAAATCTGCATAAATGATTGTCTATTTCTCGCATTGTGATAAAACAATGGTACATAGAGCCATCGAATTTTGAATGACGAAATCCTACTGCGAATATGGGCATCTGAAATCCCAAATTTGGAATCTGTTTTATTATAGATTTTATATTTTGTAAAACTTTAACGAATTTTTGATTTACAAACTCAGTGCTTTAAAAGCGAGAAATGGCAACGTATATATAAAAAAAAAAATACTTTTATCTCCAGCTCGCGAGACTGTTGTATATCGGAAATTCTAAAGATATGCTTAATTTAACATTATTTTGCGATATTGCTCTTGAACTGAATTTTATGGTTCAAGTGCAAAGAACATGATATTTAATAAATAAAGGTAACACTCAAAACGTTAAAAAAACGCCCCTTTGGACGTAATTTAAAATCTGAAAAATTTCAGATTTTTTTTTTTTTAAATTTATTTGTCTTTAGTTGGTAAATTTTCTTTAGTAGTAGTTGTAGCGTATATTTTCGTTTAATAAATTTGACTATGTATTGTATTGTTACGATTTTTCTCTTTTCTTCTGACACAAAATTGTTACGTTATTTTCTTCCTTCACGTTCGTA